AGGAGCAGTTTTCTACACGTGGAAAAAAAATAGCTGTCTTGCACCCTGGGAAAAGACTGTCTCAAATGTGCCTGTTGGCTTTTCTCTGAGTAGGTTCAAAGTATCCTTCAGACATGACTTCACTACTCTCCGGGAGGAGAATGTGGACTGACCCGAGAGAACAGTCTCTTTGTAGCAGTTCAGAGGAGCTCAGGCACAAAGCTGAGTCCTCGCCAAGTCTGTGCAAAGTGTCCCCAAATGGTTCGAGTCCTCATATTCACACACAGGAGAATGAGCATCAGTACTTAACAAGGCTAAGTGAATTCTAAGGGAGATCTCCTGCTGAACTCACACTTACAAAAGGCACATGGTAAATTTTGATAGATTCATACTTACTTCTCCCAAATGGCCCTTCTTGAAGTTGATACTCATTTAATACTTTTTTTCCCCCTCAAGCAAGGCAAACATAAAATGAGGAAAAACCACAGATACCAGGTCATATTTATGTTACTATGACTTAGCACCAAATTGATGCCCCAATCACAGTAAAGCCTGGAGTCTTACAGGATTTTTTGAGGAGGGGAATGAAAGCATTCTTTCTGCTTTTCTGATTATGATCTTGTAGTAAAGTAGAGTAGAAATTCTGTTGATAATGTGAAGGAGGAAATGAAGCAACAGTCATAATTTGCTATAGTTAGAGCTTCTTTTTCTGTCTTTGCAAGAAAATTTTAATCACATCAAGTAAAAAGTTGCTTGTTTTCTCCTTGTTAAATCTTCTGTCCCACCCAACCTTGTTCACGCTGCTGTTGGGTTGTCTTCAGGGATGTCAGGAGTCTCTGCCCATGAAAAAAGTTCATAGAATATGAAGGGAAATGAAGCTGTGATTTGGGAATCTATTATCAGTTTATTAAATCAAGTTTATTTCAGGAGATAATTCCTTGGAGATATTATCAGAAATATCGCAACAGGATTATTTGAAAAGTGAAGGTGAAAGCAGGAACTGTTTATCAGGTCAAATTCCCTTCTAATTTCTTTTACCTCTGTTATGAGCTCCTTCAGTTTATTTCAGCAGACAGATCTGATACCCAGTCAGAGAGGGTAGCTATTCATTTAACCTTTCTTTTCTCCCTTCAGTCCTTTTCTTCTTCTTTTTAAAATTCTACTTTTAAATTTGTTATTAATATTGATGGATAAATTATAATTGTATCTACATTTATAGGATAGTGTTTTCATATACATAGGTAACACTGCATGAGTAAATTAAGCAAAATAACCATCACCTCACATATTTTCTTTTTTTTATGGTAAGACATTTGAAATTCAATCTTAGTTATGTTAAACTATAAAAATATACTGTATTACCTATAGTTAACCTTGTTCTATAGATCTCAAAACCCATTCCTCCTGTCTAAAACTCTGTACCTTTTGATCAGTAACTCCCCACCACCCCAGCCTTTTTGATAACTGTAAGAATGTTATCTTCTTAATTACCAAAGTATCTCCTCTAGGAAACATTACTAGCCATGTAAATCTTGCTCAGCTATAAATACTTATCCTGTATTTAGACTTGGCAGTGTTCACACTGGGTTTAGAACCAAAGCAGCAAGTTGACAATTCCTTTCATGTAGTTAAATGGATTGTGGAAGGGCTCTTTGTGTTTTTCTACTACAATACTCCCTTGTTAACTTTTGAAAATCTTCTTGAGGGTATAGTGGATATCATTGATTTATTTGGACTGAATAAGTGACTGTGATGTTTTGTGGCATGTATTTATAATTCCACTGCCAAATTAATCTTCTCACCTCTTCCTGTTGTACATGTTATTGCTGCTCAGAAGGTTTCGGTGGCGTTCCTAAATAAATGCGTTAACGTGGGCATGGAGAGCCTCCTTCCCCCATCCATGAGCTCCTTGTCTTCTTTCCATACAGAACCCCCTGCTGTAGTCATGTGTTTTCTCATAGTTACCTCAACCTTGATCTCCGCTGTTATGTGGGAGAGAGCCTGTGAACATTATTGTTATGATGTACTTGTCATATTCAGTAGCGCTGGCATCACAAAAGCACCACTCTTTGCTCGTCGGGTCATATTGGATTTTGACCTTTTCTTCAACTGTACAGTATTGCCATTGCTATAATGTTGGCTCCCCGGCCATGGAGCCTGCCCCACAATAGCCTCAGCATGTACTTGTAGGCCCCTTTCAGTTACTGTAGATAGGTAAATTAATTAGATATCTTGTAGACACTTAGACAGGGCTGGCCCTCATGGAGCCAATATGAAGAACAACTGAGGCATGTTCAATGGTTAGCATTATAAAAAAGAAAAGAGGTATTACTTCCCCTAGAGATGAATAGCAGTGATTGACATTCTAAATGGAGAAATTCCTTGTACATGACTTGTTTTCTCATTCGATCCCATTGAACCAGTATTATCCGGGTAACTCCACTTGTAACCTTACTGGTTAGTCATAGTTTTGTTCCACCTCATGCCCACCTTGTAATTTTCCACTGGGTCTTATAGTTTTGCCCCACTTTGTACCCACCTCACCTCATGGCTTTACTTATAATCCACCTTTGAAAAGTAGGTTGGTGGGCAACCCATATGCAGGTCCCTCTTTGTCTTTCTTAGATGGAAGCTATCTTTCAATATATTTTTCCTTCTCTTAACCTCTGTTGTTCTTAGAACTCATTCTTTGATTTTAGAGAACATGAGCTTGTGTTTTGAAATCTGGCAGGTTTGGGAGTTGCCTCTGTTACCTCTATATCACAGTGACCAGTGAAGGTAATCTTTACCCAGCATATACATATCGGACTTTCTGGACTCCTACAGCTCCTAATGAAACCTGAACTCAGATCTAAAATGTTGCCCGAGTTCGACCCCAGGTACAAAAAAAAAAAAGTTAAAGTTCTGTCCTTTGGAGCACACAGAAGAGATGTGTCATAGATGCTGCACATTATACCTGAATGCTTGTATAACATGGCAGCAGTCTTGGGACTAGGTACAAGAGACACCTATAGTTTACTAAAGTTGTTTCTTTGGAGGAAGTTAAAAGAAAGGTTTTCCTTGTATAGTTTTAACCATGGAATGTGATTGTGTAGTTCATGTTCGTTGATACAGATAATGTCCAACAGGCTCCAGTCTGTCTGCCTGTCTGTCCGTCCATCTATCTATCTTCTGTCTATTCTCACGGATGGCCAGTCGAGGTGCCCATGACTCCCTGTGTATTCTGCCTGGAGATATTCCATTGTTGTATCAAGCAGTGCTTACCCTGGCTCCAGAAGCGCATAGACCCAAGTCCCTCATTAATCTGTGTGTGACTTCAGTCTAGCTCCCTGGATTAACTCTGAGGAATACCAAAGAGAGCCGTCCTGCCGAAGCCTGGGATCACAGGTGCCCACAGCAGAAGTGGTAAGAGGCCTGGCCTTTGCAAGATGAGATATCAGATCTGTGAGAGACATTTGTTCTACTGTGGTGAGGAAAGCATCCTAAAACTGATACTTTTGAAGCTTCTGGCTCTTCTGCATCCTGTCCAGGGCCCTTGAGTTTAGAAATGAAGGGTTTAATCAGCCATTGGTGTGGAATAATTCCAAGCTGAAATTTTCAGCCCCTAGATAAAATTTTCAACTACGTAGCCATGACTCATTAATAAACAACTGAGCATGCAGGACATGGGAGTTTGTGTGGGCATGTGTGAGTTCATGTATGTTTTAAAGGATTCTTTTTGTGCCTCAGAGTTGGGTATGATGGTACACACCTGTGACCCACACATTCTGGGAGGCTGAGGAAGGAGGTTCAAGCCCAGCTTGGTGATTTAGCAACAATCAATCAATCAATCAGCTGAGAATGTAGATCAGTGTGAAGGCTCTGGATTCATTTCCCAGGAGCACGCTCAGTGGCACATGAATACACACACACACACACACACACACACACACACAAATGGATATGCACAAAGGATTTCTAGCTCAGACTGCTTATAAAATGCTATCTGAATTATAAGTAATGTTCTCTTTGCTTGTCCAGAGGGTGACTCTGGTTACCTTGTTTAAGTAAGATTCATTTCAGGAGCGCGCTCAGTGGCACATGAATACACACACACACACACACACACACACACACACAAATGGATATGCACAAAGGATTTCTAGCTCAGACTGCTTATAAAATGCTATCTGAATTATAAGTAATGTTCTCTTTGCTTGTCCAGAGGGTGACTCTGGTTACCTTGTTTAAGTAAGAAAGAATGCATTTTAAAAACAATACTGTAGAAGGGGATCATTTGACTCTGAGATAACCGCAACATTTTCCATTTTCATTGCCTTGTATGGTATGACCTGTACTAGCATTTGGGCTCAAAAGCTCCTTTTTTTTTCAGGGGTGGAAATAGATAATTCTTGCTTTACTTCTTCTTGTTACAACATTTCAGTTGACCCTGAAGAGAGAATATATTTACAAATGAGTGTTGGTTTTGGTGGAGTGCCCAGTGAGGTTTTTGCTATGATAGTGTAGGGTAGCAGTTAGTAAATTTGTACAAGTGGCTCTCCTAGGAAGAAAGGAATGAAAAATCTTGATCTTTCTTCTTGTAATTTCAGGTTACAGAAACCTTCAGGGTGGGCTGAGTGACCTAGTACCGTGGGCTAACTAAAGATCTTTGTGTTAAAGCCCTAAAAATGGTTGTGAAGGCATGAGCAATTGTGCTAGATCTTTCTTGTTTCCAAAAGCCAAGGATTCTGCCCTGAGTACATGGCTTGAGTATGTGAATTTAGAGAGATGGCAATGAGATGCTCAAGTCATATTTGCCATGGGGAATCCTCAGGAAGAGATAACAGAGGGCATGGAGTTTTTTTTACCTGGAGATCCGGGTGTCCTAGACAGGAATTTGCACTGTGGTGGGAGAATATGTAGTTTGCAATACTATCAGTTGTTCCTTTATTTAAGAAATATCTCAAAATTCTCCTTCTCTGTCCTGAAATAAAAATCATGGATAGCGTGTATGTGCGCGCACACACACACACACACACACACACACACACACAATCAACAACAAAAAAAATCAAGATAATGTGCTATGTGTGAGATGAAGGGGTAGTGAATGGAGAGCTGTTGGGTAAAAAGCAGCATGTGTCAGCCACATAGAAGGTGAGTTGTCATGGTCCCTTACTGCATGTGGCATCCCTGTGAATGTGGAAATCACCTGTGCCACCCGATGCTGGTATAGCAGATTGGAGACTGTCATGTCCCAAATTCTGGGGTTGTTGGTGATATGATTTTCTGAAGGGGTGAGCTACAACTGGTGATGTTCCAAGCAAAATAAAATCAACTTTCTCTTTACTAGACATGATAGACATGCATTCCTAAAGAATTCTGCTACATAAAAACACACTTTGCACATGGTATAAGAAAGGAGAAACCTTGACTGCTTCGTGGAAAATCTCTGAATATTTGAGTTGTATAAACCATTTTCCTCAATGACTAGAACATACCACCTGCTTTTCAGGATGTATGAACTCCAAGGTCCTGCACACAAAAACCCAACAACACAGGTTTAGGAACTGTGACGATGCAAATGTGCCCTTGTATTTTCAACACATCTTTTGAGGGTACTAATCTTGTCATTGAGAAGAGCTTGCGTAGAGATCTAGCCTCACCCATACTGCCCCAGACATTGCTGGATGTGACCATGCCTTTGATTAAGGGCACTGGATAACCAGTGGAGGACCTTTATGAGATTCATGGGATACCAGGTTTCTGGCTTAATTTTGTTTTTCAAAGCAACCATTTTCTGTGGGAATCTGTTAGGATCTTCTGGAATCAAAAGAGTGGGCTTGAGTTCTGTATCTAAAGTGGGAGAAAGCAAGACTATTGGACCCTTCACCAGTGAGGAAGTACGTGGGCCTTTTGTGATCTATCAGAGGTGAGTGGGCCATGGAAAGAGAGCCTGAACTTTCTGTTCTTCTGTCCTGTCCTGTCACGTTTCAGAGTGTAGAGTGGGGAGTTGGAGCGATCTAGGATTAAATCCTATTTTTGCTTTCTAGTTGCTGTGTGACCTTGGACAGCTTACTCAGTGTTTTGAGCCCAAACACTAAAATGAGGATTGACCTATTGTGTTAGTCTACTACTATAGTGAAATAGATTAGGTAAGTTATGGAAAACAGAAATCTATTGCTGACAATTCTGGAAGCTGAGACGTCCAAGATGGAGCTACCAGCAGCTTCCGTGTCTGGGCATGGGGCTGTTGCTCCTAGATAGTGCTTTTTGAGTGTCCTCAACATAGTGTGTGCATGGGGGGTACTCACAAGTTCTTTTGGGCCTCTGTTTTAAGGGCATAATCACATGTATGAGCACTGAGCCCTCGGACTTAATCATTTCTCAGATGCCCTACTTAATAGTATTGCTTTGAGGATTATGTTTCAACATAGGAGTTTTGGAAGAACATAGACATTCATACCACAATATCTACTTGGAAGATCAGCAGTAAAGAATATCTTAACAAAGAGCTTTGCATGGTTCCAAGCACATGGTAAAATCTTACTCCATTTAACTGTTGTTGCTTGCGGTAGGTAATACAGTTGTCTTTCATGGATTTATTTCTGTGGGAAAGGGCCTTAGTTAAAGTTGATGCTATGTAAACTAATCCAGAGACATAGTACACCTTCACTTCTGCAAAAGGGGATGGATGTTTTTCTAGAAAGTAATTAAGGGGAAAACAAGCCAATGCTGGATCATATTGTATGCAGTGTTTTAAACATGAAAGCAAATACATTTCTCCCTGAACCTTAATACTTAAAAGTGTTCACTCTTAATAATTCACCCTGAGTTCCAAAGGATCTCTGAGTAACCAAGGTAGTATGACAGCACTCTGAGTAACCAAAGTAGTGACCTTTATACAGTGGGAGGGACTGAACTGCCATAGAACTGCATGTTGGCCACCACCGCTGTTGACTTGTTCGCAGCTGAGCAGAGTTGGAAATATTAGTACCAGCACCCTGGGAGAGAAATTCATGTGGCTGGTCCTTATCTGTTTTTCTGCCAGTGAGTATTAATGGGCCTGAATGGCTGATGCAAATAAATACCCAGTCTGGAATACACATTTTTCCAGGACAAACCACACAGAAAAGATGTTTGAATGTTTTTAATAAAAACATCTTGCTAGCTCAGAACTTCTTAAAGAGATCCAGCTTTCTTATGGAAAGCAGCCCAAGGTTCTTAGAGAAAATCCTGAAAGTTGGAGAAGTGTTATTCTTTTCCTTGATCACTGTTATTTTGCCAAAGAACATGCTGGCTGTCATTTTCAAGATGAAATGGAGTTCTGATCATATGCTCCCACCATTCTATGGGCAATTTAAAAAATTTGTTTTCCTTTGATAGTAAGACAAGCACTTTTCTTACAACGGTTCCATTTCATAAGGGCTTTAAGACAAAAGTATTAATAAATGAGGATTAAAGGGAAAAAATAGCATAAAGAAAGCGTGTGATTGTGTAATAAAAATTTAACTGCTTCCTACCGTAGCGACAAGAGCAGAGGAAAATCTTACTTGGTTACCTGATTTAAAAAACAGAGTTCTGTAGGCAAAGCTCAGTTGTTCCTGGCCCTGAGAATAGAGGTAAGTTTTCTCATGGTTACTCTTCAATAGGGTATTTGGGGCTTTTCTCTTCAGTTTCCTCAAATGCCTCACAGAGACTATCACCAAGTTGTATAGGACTGCTTTGAATAACTTCTTCATGGTTGGCATTTTGCTGCAGTTTAATTCTATCAAGGAAAAAGAAGTAACCTCCAGGCAATTGTCCATTTCTTCTACTCGTTTCAACTGCACTTTTTTGAAATAATTGAGAAGCAGAGTTAAAGGTTACATCTGATGAACACAAGGAATACAGCTCTCTTTGACAGATGTGAAAGGATACAGCCACGGGCCAAATCACTCACCAAACTGAGTAGAGATGATACCCTTATCAATATAAAAAGGGAGCCCAAAGATTTGGTGGCCAGAAGAGAAGACCACTCGCCTCTGCATGTAGAAGGGCAAGAGCATCGAAGACCATGCAGAAAATGTGAAGAGGAAAAAGAATATGTGAGTTGTATTACCTTAACCACTACTCACACTTGTGTATATTTCCTTTTAAAGAAACTCTTCAGTGGGTAATGTTAACACAATCAGGGTGTGCACATGAATTTATATCGCTTTTCATTTAAGCACCATAAAATAAGTTAGTACATTTTGTTTTGCTGGAGTGTGGGGGGTGTTGTAAGGCAATTCTCACCTTGGCTGCCGATCTCCTATAGAGTGTGTTGTACACCACATGTCACGAGTGGTACTTTAGAAAAACAAGAAAAAGAGGCCATTTAAAAAGATTGGGGATCCAGAAAGGGACCCAAGGAGTTTTGGGAGGTGAGACCCCCATGCAGAGAGGATTCAGCTGAAGTAGAATCAGGAGAAACATCTGTGGGAAGTCTCTTAAGGGAGTTTAGGGATTTCTTGCGGCTCCACACTGAATGGGCGATTGGAGAATTAATTTTATGTTTATCCCAAGATGGAACAAGTGCACCTCCTGACATTTAAAAAATATATAGACATTTGTAACATCTGCCTTTCATAGGAGATAAAAATAGAATATTTAGTGGCTCGTGATAATGAGAAATGCTATTTGGCAAGCTTTTATTTCTTTAAAACAGTTTTTCTAGAGGTCATGTTTTTCCATGGTCCACAAGTTTTCCTTTTCTTTGGAAGGGAGGGGGCAAAAGTAATATAGTAATTATAGAGGGAGACACAGGTGTTTCCTTTCCAGCCAGAGCACCTTGGCAAGCATTTCTTAATGACCTACTGTTCACGACATTTCTGGAACTTTAATACAACCAGGAATTCATTGAAGGCATGCCTTGACCTTTGGGTTTGGACACTCTTTGTCTTAGTTGCTTTCTCTCATTGCTGAGACAAAATGCCCAACACCTAAAATTAAAAGGAGAAAGGTTTATTTAGCTCACAGTTTTTAGAAGTTCCCATCTATAATCGGCTGGCTCCAAGGCAGGGAGGGGGCTTGGTAGAGAACCAGTTCATGGTGGACAGATGAAGGCAAAGCGGCATCTTTCTGCCCCTTTTTGCTACCGGGATTAGGGCGGTACCAAACCAGTCAGCATACTAGTTTAGTCGTCGCACACTTTACATTCAGCCACCTCTGAAAAAGCCACCTATGACCACATGAGGCTTTGAGGGGACATCTAGACCAAAACCATAACACTCTTTAACCATCTACAGATTTCTTTGTACCTTTATTGCATTACTTTGAAATCTTTCGCTTTTTCTGTGTTCTTTTGCATTAACTTCTCTTCCAGGAAGGGATGTGTGAATGTGTTTCCTTAAATTCTGGTAGTTTTCTGCTGGCCAGATGTTGTTGTAAAATTCCACAGTCTCCAGGGACTGTAGTGAGACTACCAGTGGGAGGACTAGTCTTTTTTATTTTTATCATCTGTGATTTATAGAAATTAGTCCCAGTCCGTTGCTTTGTTCTCTGACAGCCTTAAAAAGAGCAGGGAGGGATTCTGTCCAGGAATTGTGTCATATGATCCCTTTTGTAGTAACAGACTATTTCTTCTGAAGAAATTCCACCAAATGTGACTTTAACCATCTAAAATTGTCCCTTTCCAGGAAATGAATATGAGTATCTAAAACACATACCGAATTAGAAACTTGATTTAATTGAGCAGCGGGGATTGACTGGAGAATGGATTCAGTCTGCAGTTATGAAAACTTCTTTACCCAACATTCACTTAATGAAAGGAAACAATCAATACATTCGCTTCTAATTTTACCATTAACTATTGGCGTGTTAGAAGGGAAAAACTTTCTTTCTTCCATCAAAATGAGACTGGACTTTGGTGGTTCTAGTGTAACAGCTGCCAGTAGGTTGTCTGTTTTCAGCCGATACTTGTTTTTCAGAACAATCAGTGCAATATAGCTGTACTCCAGCACACAGAGGTCAATTTCCGGACAAACGCAGTCAGATTGTAAAGTGAATTCTTTTTTTTTTTTTTTCTCAATAGCTTTTATTTAAAACCAGAGAAACACTTCAGTGCTGGACTATCTGAATCAACTCGAAGTGTCTGATGACAGGTTCAGATGTTGAGCAGGTACCTGGAATTCTGGGAATATCAGTGGAATTTACCTGTTGACTAGCATCTCTTCTTTGGAGCTCTGGTGACAGCCTTCTTGAAAAGACTTCTCTGGGTCTTTCCCCAGATCCTAGCAATTTCTGCCTCTCTAATTGTGACTTCTAGAATTTTATCTTTATTCCTTTAGTTTGGATGCTTACAGCTTCTGATAGACCTGCTGTTCTAGCTTATTTAACCATGTGGTTCGCTAATAGTGTTGCAGGGTCCCAAGTCCAGAAGTGTCCTCCTCTTGCCCCTCATTTTCTCATCCCTCCCTCCCATCTCTTTGTCCAGCCCTAACCCCATCTGTCTGACCCACCCTCGTTTTTACTCCCTGTCATCATTTTTTTGTTTCTTCATAAAATATGTGATTAAAATGTAGCAAAATTATACAAAATGTATGATTAACATTTCAAAGCTGCAATTTTATTTTTAATGAAGTAAAATATTATAGAGAAAATTAAGGTCTTTTTTGGCATTTTGTTCTCATTTTCTTCTGCTTGCTCTTCCTTCCCAGAGGTAACTCCTATCAGGTATCCCGTAGGGACAAACAATTCATCTAATGGCCCCTCTCTGTCAGCACAGCCAGGCCAGTTGGAGCCCATAGGGGCTGCCTTTGTGCTCTGGGTCCTTAGTTCAGTAGATAGGTTGAGCACCTCTAGTCCAACATCTGACATCCACAATGCTTAGAAATGTTCAACACTTCTGGCCCCATGCATTTCGGATGAGGAACACTCAAATATGTGTGCCTAGATTGTGGCTCTGGATAGCCCAGAAGCAAATTTACTAAACATCTCCTAGCCAAAGCGTATGGGGAAATAAGCAGACTGTGTGTCCCATGGGGTAAATTTGTGAAGAAGAATTGAGTGTGGGAACTCTCACCGGGTGCAGCTAGGTCCTTGGATCCCACAGGAGCTGTGTCCACTGGAGCTCCATCTTTCTAGCTCTTGTATGTCTAAACACCTAGCTCCTTGGTGACTTCTAATTTACTTTCCAATGGACTTGACTTGGGTCTGTAGCATTCCTGATCTCATTCTTTATTGTTTTCTTTGTTTTCATGAGTTTTTAATGTCTATGGTTCAAAATGTTGGCTCTTGGCTGTTTCTTTATTCTCTAGTTGTGTGATGGTTTGGCTTTGATATTCCTAAATCTATACCATCTCCAAGCTTTCCTTAATCTTAGTCAAAGAAACTAACCAACTATGATGATATAGTTTCCGCATAATAATCCATCAGAGCAAGCTCAGAGATGTAAGGGCTGGTTGTCTACCAGATTAAAATTTGATTTTGCCCGTAGGTCCTCCATTATTGTTCCATTATTGCCAATTCTCAGGTCCTAGGGGAACAAATGTGAACCCAGAAAGCAAGGCACCACACCGTCCACTGCCAGAGAACTTGAGATAAGTCAGCATAAACTCTAATGGATAACCTGCTGCCTGGCAAGACAGATCTTAGCAGGAGTGATGTTGAAATTGGCCATTAGTTTCAATGTTCTAGGTCCTCTCAGTGCTGAGCCTGAGACCTGAAGCCCCTGCTCTCCAGGCCTCCAGAAGCTATTGACTGTGATACCAAGAATGTACCGAATGATGCTGGGCTAGTGCTGAGGATATGTGGGCGGCTTTGTCCCATTTGTCAAGGTCCCTCCACCTTGATTATGTGTTTACTGGCCAACTTGCATGCTTCTTCATGAGCTTCTTATTGTTTTACTCCTTCTAACCTTTCTTCCTCAACTTCTTTCCATTTCTTTCTTTCCCCTTTGCCTTGATTCATGGGTGTGCTTAACTTTCTTCCCTACACTGAATCCACTCAGCTTGTCCTCTCAGCTGGTGAATTACAGAGATACATAAATGGCGAAATGGAAAATATTGATCAGCCTTGTATAGAGCCTGCCAAAGTTTTATTCATCCCTTTTTACCTTTCTTCAAATACTAGGGAAATAATATAGCAAGTAACAGACTCCAACAGGCACCTGGGATTCACGTCTCATGCTGTAGATAATATTTGCTTCTGGAGATGGACTCATTTTCCAAAAAGATTATATTCCTAAAGAATGATCCTCTTTCTATGATTTTCACATTCCATTTTTAGCCTCATTTGGTCTTATGGGCCCCAGCGATTAAACCTGAGGTCTGTTAAAAAAAGAGTAGTTGCTCTACTTTGTGCTGTTGAGCCATCTCTATTCTAGGTTGTTACAGTGTTTGACCACTTTCATATCTTTTCAGGTTTCTAAGGAAAACAAACCAAATGATATCAAACAAAGCTAGGCCAAAATAAAATCATTCCAGATCCTCCTCAGAATTAGGCGATACTCACGGTTTAAGTTTCTAGCCAGAATGCTTAGTAAGTGTCTCTTCTTGGCTGCAGCAAGGCTGTCGGGTCAAATGTCACTGGAGCATCTAGCTCTCTGGACTGCTGATTGTAGCGTTTGCCAGCTGTGGTCTCTGGGGAAAACATCTAAACCAGTGGTGGTAAAACTTTTAGAGCTTTCAATGATAGAGACAGCCTGCTGCAGCACGCATGCCATAGGTTCACCATCACTTAGAGCCTTGAACCTCAGTTTTCTCATGTGCAAACCGAACCCATCTTAGCTTGTTACAGTTAACAGAAGTGGTGCGTAGAAAGTGCTTACCGAGTTGCTAGCATAGAATTAGCACTCAAGTGTGGCTGACTCCCAATCACTGCTTTTTTTGTCAGGCTTTTTTCTCTTTCTTCATTCTCCTCTTTCTACGGTTGTTCAAAACACAAGATTCTCCTTGGCAAGAATCACGTGTGTTTGATCTGGGCTTCCATCTGTTCTTGTTAAGTCACCCAGGGCAAAACATTCCACCTTTCTTAGGCTATTTCTGAAGCTAGAAATGATATATCCAAGTTCCTTTAGCACAGTACCTAAAGCACAGTGAATGTTCAGCAATTATTATGACATGAT